TTCCAGTGTACGAGCACCGGTGCACTTCTGTCTACCGTGTAACCAATTTAGAAGCGAGACGCCTCGTATTTTTTATTAGAGCTTATGCAATAGTTCTGTCTCTGCGTATCTTGGACTGATGTACTGATAAATTTGCGGGTCGCCGCAGTTGGCGGATACCAGTATCGCGCTCCTTTAAATCAGCATTGAGATCAACCTGTTACACACCGACTATCATGAGGTATCCTGTGACTCGTATCTTTCATGAATGTCACCCTGCTTGTATTCAATATAGCGCCGGACGAGTCATGACATTTCCAATCTGGTTCTGACCCCGCACAGTACACACTGCCAACTGGAACAATGAAGCAGACTACAGAATAGGATCTGCCTTTGCCAAGATTAGCTTGTACGAGAGGCTGAGGTCCCGTAAAATTAGGGCGCTCTTTTACTGGATGAAGCTGACTGGGCCTTTTAATCAAGATACGGTGATTTGATTTCGCTGGTCGCCTGAGTTCCCATCTCCGCCAGAATCCAAACCTGGCTCAGTCGCACTTCTATGTGAGCAGCACATGAGGATAGAGCCTGCAAGGTCACACTGGCCTTTGATCTCCAGCGCTCTACATGTGTAGTCGATTGTGGATTAAGCGTCCTTTGCAGGGTATAACCCTGCTTCACATTACGTCTAAAGCCACTGTACCAATTTCCGTCTTATCTGCAAACTGTTCGAAGTGTCCTGTCTAGGATGTATCCATGAATTTCTATGAATCGAGTACTTCTATTACCCCTGTGCAAAGGAGACCATCGTTTGATCTGTTTTACGTAAGTTTATGGAGACATCCTATGAATGTTTCAAATCGAGTAGATCTCACAGAAGGTACATAACGCGATCGGCGTACTGGTAAACGATATTTGAAGAAGATTGAAAGTATCCTCGATGAAATTCAGTTCTATTGAAATATGTTGATGGAACTACTTGAAGCTATTGAGTTTGATACATGACTTGAATAGTTCCGTAAACCGTTAAAAGTAGACCTTCAACTTATTGACATTGATCCATCAACCATTCTCTCGATAACCAATCCGTTTGTTTATTCGCAGTCTCCCTCGTAGCGTTTGACAATTCCATTATCGTCAGTCACGACCACGCAGCCTCGCACAGCCAAAGTACCTTCAACTACATAATTCATGAGCAGAGTTTCTTAAAAAAAATTCAAGCATCGACAACTGACCAGGCTCAGGGGTAGGTGCAGCAAACGCAAAGAGAGCTGAGCCCAGGAAGAGGGCAATTACGGACTTTGTGAAGTACATAATGGTGGATAACGAATTTTTTGAGGTAGATACGAAAAGTAGATTTGAAGGAAATGTTCTGTAAGTTTGCTGAGTTGATGGTGAACAAAATGTAGAGAAAGCAGGTTGGTACCTCGTATTTATAGCAGCGCTTCTGAGAACTTTTCAAGGCTTTTATTCATTCCATGTTCTTTTTTGGGAAAACCATTCATATCACCTCCAGCGTCGTATCTTAGTATCCTTATGACACGGCGTAAACACCGGTGGATCTTCATCTCTGTCACCAAGTTGGGTAGAAAAGTGGTCCATCGTATTAAGAATCCTTCAGATATACCGAATCCGCTCTGCTATTAATTAAAAATATCTACAAATTAAAGCTTTGTGATTGCGCCATTCATAACTAATATGGTTTCACTTCCGACCTATGGCCTGTTAAGTATGGGATATTACTTCGTGGTCATGGGTTATCTAGCAATTGTCGTGTTGAGATACTACGACCAAAATGTCAATCTCCGACTCTGCAGGTTGGTGATAAGTGGACCCTCGTGTTGGACAGTATCCCCACCAGGTATTATATTTCTCAAGAGAACAGAAGGGGAACTATAGACGGAAGCTCGTATGAAGTGGTAAAGTACTCCATGAAATGTATATTATCAGGCGATATACAGCAGATGCAACGTTTCACTGCGTACTATTATTCCCAGTCTGGTAAGTACTGCACACTACTATAGACTGGTATTCAATATAATCGTATGAAGAGTCATGAGCATTCAAAAGGTCAGATTTATGGTGGAAATCCGAAACTGGGAAAACCATCCGAGTGCTACAATGCTAATTTACCGAATATGATATTTTTACTGACGTAAACTAGCTCCTAGACAGGGGGATAGAATTAATTGACAAAGTATCATTACTGGTTAGAGCAAGACATGTTTGATTAGTCCGTCATGAGCCGAAGATTAGATCAACAGTGATTGTGAACATACTGTGAGGAACGCTACATAAAAGGATTGGCATATATTCGGCAGCGGCGTATTACAGCCTCAGGCTTCTGGCCCAGGCAGCACATGCAGTTGCGCCGAGTAGCAGAAATGCAACCAACAAGAAGGTCTTATCAAAACTTGGATATCTTGTAGAATCAGCCCCGTACCGCACCATAGTTCCTCCTAGAGGTGTACCAACTAGAGTCCCCAACCCACGAATCATGTATAGCAATCCACTTAACTTTGCAAATCCCACAGGGTTGAATTGTTCTAATAAAGCGGTCGGGAAGAGTGAGACGTAAGCCCCCGCAGCGGCCCCATAGACACAAGCATAGAGCACTATCAATACCTGCTGGATATCGTTGTCCATGTCTGAGTTGGACACATAGCAAAAGGCAAATGTAGCAATAGCACTAATCAAAGTCGACAAGACCAGAGCATTGAGACTCCCCACTTGATCTGCATAATACCCGATAAGGATTTTCCCTCCGGAATTGAAGCCATCGCTAAGTGCAATTATATTTGCTCCAGCAGTCCTGCTATACCCCCGTGTTCGGGCGAAGGATGACATGAAATAGACTGGAGTCATGTATGCTGCTGCCTGTAGGCAAGTCCCCAGGCCGTGAGAGACAAATCCCAGGGAAAAGATGAGGTCTTCCTTTGACAGAGCTACCTGCTCTCCATAATGAAATTTTTGATTTTCACGAGTCTTCGGCGCCTGGTTTTGAGCTTTTTTGACCCATCCCAACGAGCATGCAGCACAAGTCACGATAGATCCTACTATGACTCCAGTCATTCCAACCGCCTTCCGGTACCCAAACAAAGAGATAAGATAGCGAATACAAGGAGCCCAGATCATTCCGCCGAAGCCTGTGCCACTAGTAATTATTCCCATGGCGAGTGATCTCCGTTTGTCGAAGTATCTTGGGGGTACGATGATAGCAGGAATGTAGATCAGACAAGCTGCACATCCCTGAAGAAAGCCTTGGCTAAGCTGGAAGTGCCATAGTTCTTTTCCAAAAGATGCTGCAATTCCTGATATGGCAAATAGACCTCCTCCCACAAGTATAACGGAACGAGCTCCGTATTTTGTACACCATGAGCTGGCGATAGGAGCACCCAACGTCATTAATGATGCAGCGAGCGTTCCAATGAGGCTGATTGCCCCCGGACTTGCGTCGCTGAATGGTCCGCCTGATGACTCGTAAATCTCCTCGTATACACCAAAAGCAAAATTCACTCCGCAACCAGTGAAGGTCAAAGTGAAGCATGATATAATTAATACAATTTGTTGTCGAAGTTCGAAGTGTCGACCCGCTTTTTGAAATATGAAATCATCGGAATCGAGCATATCAACTTCCAGCTCGAAGGGCTTATGCAGCTGTTCTGTAAAGGCTTCGGGGCTGGCCATGTTGCTTGTTTGCGCGGTTGTTGATGTAGTAAATGTGCACTTCACACTACCCTCTACTCTCTCACGTAGATAGTATATATCGCTAATATCCCAAACAAGATGTATGGTTTCAGGGGTAAAGTCACCTACTTACGGAAAATTAAATGTATGGGTGTTTGAAAAATAGAATAATGTCTAGGAAACGTGGGTGTATCAACTACAGAGTTCTGGCAAAGATAAAACTAACGAATTATTATCGAAGACTATCACTGCTGGAGGTTTTTGATCATGGCTAATGTCGATTCGGGTTGGTTATGCAGTCAACATGTGTTTCTTGACTAGGTTAGTAAGTTTGTACCCAAAACATGACAAATCATAAGCTCTCACGCTCCTTGTAACGCTCTGTTACGCGGGACTGTATCTAACAGAGATCATTAATGATCGAAGACATAAATATTCTAGTCCATACGGCATTGGGCGAGGCTGGTGTATTTTGTGGAGAGTGGGCGTAATCAACCTCACCACACGAGGTCCTCTAGCTGGAACTCAAATGGGGGCATATAGCTGAGGATGATATCAGTGGGAAGAATCGAGTTAGGCGTATTTATGGTATATTAACGTAATATTTCAAGATATAATGCCAAGCCCTTTTAGATACAGATGTGTAATAGTTGTAAATTTAAATTACCCATTCTAAATCCATGCGAGACATGTGCTAACCCTTAGGCTCTAACCCCTCCCACCAACGATCCCTAAAAATCATTCCCTGATCCCCTAACCATCCCTAAACCCTAAATTACCAGAGGATATGTAAGGCTTATCCTAAGCATATGCTGTAATAAATAGTCAGAGTTGGTAATCTTGGTAATTTATTAGTTGGTCCAACCGTTGTTATAGCTACTAACCCCGAAGAGGTAATTTTAAATTACACTAGCGCCCCAATTGATATCATCCACCGGGATGATATCAGGCTCAGCTTAAACCCGCTCAAATGGGATAGAATCGGCGCCAGCATGTTAGCTCTTCTGACGCTGAATACTAGCGTTAAAGAGAAGCTCATGTGTGTAACAGATAATAAGTGATTTCCATATACAGGCGAATCCACATGAAACGGTAATATTGGTCCACTTAATACCAGTACTTTTCGCCCCAATGCCAAGACACGATGTGATGGCTAATATCAGTGCCGAGTGGAGAGACGTACAATATGGTGTAAACGACTAGGAAAAAGAAAATTGATTATTATGTTACTAGACACGCTAGTGTTGCTAGATTATATATGAGTTGGCTCGAGAAACAATGACTAGGAATTGCGTTCATTGCCACTACATATCAGCGCACATTTTCAATACCTTAAGATGATCTCTCCCGAAGTTACCCCGGATATTCCCATCGCAAACCTTGAAACTATTAGCTATGATAAACTGCTTGAGGCTGACTCTCAGGAGATTGCGAAGCTAGTCGAAAATTGCAAGTCACTGGGCTTCTTTTATCTAAATCTGACAGGTACGGCTCGACGTGTTTTGGACGATTCCAACAGCGTTTTCAGAGTAATGGAAGACTATTTTGATCAACCTTTGAACGCTAAGTTGGAAGATGCCAGACAATCTGTCACCCATGGGTAAGTGGATTCGAGAGGAGGAGAGAAAGAAATGAGCGTTCTGGAACAAGAGCTTATACGAGTAGTTATACACCAATTGGGACTTATACAGGGGCCAAGAAAGGTGAAAAAGACTGTTATGAGACATTAAAGGTGAATAAATGCGATGGACAAACAAGATATAGATGCACTGACAGAATTAATGGCAGGTCTCTCATGCTGAAATGAAGATTCATGACCCCCAATTACCGGCCACCGTCAAAACGCACATGAATCTTTTTGAGAATTTCATTTTTGGGTCTCATACAATAGTCATTAAGCTCTTGGAAAGCCTCTCCACCGGATTAGGTCTAGCGGGGGAGCAGCGTTTTGAAAAGCGACATTGTGACGATGTCCCTTCGAGGACGACGATGGTCCTCTTCCGATATCCACGGCAGTTGACTGAAGGCGGTGGAATTGGCCATAATATGCATACAGACATTGGCAGCCTCACTCTACTCTTTTGCCGGGATTATGGCCTACAAATTCTTTCTCCCTCAACCAACCAGTGGGGGTTTGTGATCCCCAAACCTGGCCACGCAGTTATAAACGTTGGGGACTCGTTGCGCTTCCTATCCGGTCACCAGCTCGCTTCTTGTGTTCACCGCGTGCTACCAATCACAGAGAGACAGGAACATAATCGCTACTCAATTGCATATTTCTTACGGCCAGATGATAATGTCATTTATGTCGATAGCAAGGGCCGACAACTCTCTGCGAGGACGTGGCACGATGAGAAGTACGAGACCTTCAGAGAGCCTCATGAGAGGCAAGAAAAGGATGCTATTCTCACCGGTGGCATGGAGCGCAATGGAGTGTTTGTTTAGATGCCTTCTATCGTTTTTTTGTAAGATACCTTGAAACACAGCTAAATAATAAAGGAAGACACTGTCACTGCAGCACAAGTTTTTTTCACATTCCGAAGTTCATATTCGGTCACAGAAGACTTCGAAAAAGTGATTATAATGTTCTCCACAGATTTTATTGCCCACAAAATCTTCGCTTTCGTCCCCCGGCTTATTGCCACGATTTGTTTGCGTAGCTGCAATTGACGATCTTTGGGCTCCACGAAGCTTGCAATCAAAAACAAACAGCATCCCATCATCAAAAATTTTAGTCCTTGTCCACTCGGCTGCAGAGGCTTGAGGCTTAGCCTTTCTTTCAGCACTCTCCAGCTTAATTTCTAGTAGTTGATGATTCCACGCGGTTAAATAAATCAACAGAATATTCCACCTCCGCCGTCCAGAGTATTATTCAAAACAACTTCATCATAGTTGGCAATATTAAGAACGTTCCAGCTCAAAAGCCATCCACTATCGTAATTAACCCATACTATGTCGAAGAATGGCGCTTATAAATATCAGCACATTCGTTTCGTCAAGTACCAAACCTTCATGTGTTGCGGGTCCCCGATCTACCGACGAAGACTCTTACGCCTTTCCTGGCTCATTTGACTCCGAACGGAGCAGCTTAATTAAACACAGCGAATTATCAGCAGCTGGATCAGATATATTCTACAAACTAAGTTGCGGCTTAGTTGACGATATAAGACTCATTGTGAACCATCTCATGGATTATATGCACCGGTAATAGTTGAAAGCGGTTGGCGGGTTCAGCGTAGGATGCAGATATTGCAATACCCTGATCCATCCAGCCTATTGTCCGCAATGCATGGGTAACGAACAGCGTAAGCCTAGTAAACACTCGCTTCAGTTCAAGGAAGATATTTATCACTAGATTGTCCTTTTGCATCTCGGTCTTATTTACAACTTTACACGAGGTCTAATGTAGCCGGTTGAGAGGTGTCCCGTGTTTTAAGTATTATATATGTAACCAGATATGCACGGTATATCTGACCGACTAGTGGCTCAGCCCTGGTGATGGTAAAGGGGAAGTACTTTAAGAGACAATTGAAGAAGCAATATGCAGGCCTTCTGTCAGTCAATATACCAAAACATTTTGGTTAATTAACCCAATACTGTTCTGTATCTTTCATGCATGTCGCATATGATTTAATGGGCAGTTCATTCCCTCTCCAGCCTCGTACGACAAATCGGCTTCATGTACGGTATACAAATCACAAACATTGTCTCCTTCGAGTGAGACTCTTAGCTAATATGGAATATGTAATCCACAGAGCCGGAGGTTTGAGTTAGGAAGCATTGTACTTCTAGGAGAGTTCAGTTATTTGTCTTAGAATTGCTCTCGATCGTGCGTTATTTAGTCATCGTTGCTTGTTGTATTGCTGCTCTTCTTTTAGGCCTTTAAACAACGCGAAAACTTCTAGAAATACTCGATTGCGACCGTATGTCTTGAGACTGAAAAAATACTCAGGCTTCTCTCCTAGTTCCAAGGAAATCAAAGCTGCAAGTGCGAGCACATATGAAGCCAAAATAACATACTTCTGGAGTACTTTGTAGTAAGTACGTGTTTAGACTTCTCAGAATAGCCACCGCTCTGGCGGATGAACTGGTAGGCATTTGCTGGTCCGCCGACTTCCACCACTCCTCTGCCGTGTTAAACCTACGAATCATTCTTGTCGATCGCGCTCTCAAGTATTTCTATTCTGGGTTAGCATAAAGCCTAAACTAAGCGGCCCTGGCATCTGTAAATTGGAGAGTTCCAGCTTCTTCTCTAGAAAAAAAAGGAAAAAACCCGAGACATATGTGCTGGCCTTGCCCTCCACAATACTTTCAGCTTCTATCCTCTGAAAGTTACAATATGACAATGGTCGCTGTTGGCCGAGTGTGACTCCATGGCCACAACCTCCTCGCGGATAGCGCCTGACGTAGGGATATTTTGCTGGGTCCTCGGGTCTCAAGTCGAAAATCAGAGTTTTCGATAAATCAAAGGTCAACGCAAACCCTTTGAATAAAATGAATGATTGGCTCAGCTCGATCTGAACTGGTTACTTCAGTCTAGCGTGCTGAGGTGGCAATATTACTTTGTTTTACCCTATATTTCTTCGTCAACTACTAGGTATGATATTTGGATTACTCGCCAGCAGACAGCGATGGAGGGTTTGGGGGGGAGGGGGAGGGGTCGTCCTCTAAGGCAGATATCTGACGCATTACCCTCCTGTCAAGATTTAAAAGCTATCTGCTAGTACGCAAGCGGTAACATTGAGTTATCTACGGCTGAGCGAGGTACCGCAGCTAGGAAAAGATCTAAAGAGACTTTAGAAGTGGTCCACAAAAGAAATGCTAAACACGTAGTAATAAGGATGCAAAATCATGCTATTCCATAACAGATGCTATTCCCTTTAAGATGTCTATTCATATTTGCTGCCGGAACATCCGTTCCGGTCTTCTTTTCAGCTCTATGAGCCCACATCTACAACGACGGAGTCACTAAAAGTGAATATAGATCCGTTAATACTTCTCACTGAGATGGGGACTATGGAGCCTTCAGATATATTGCGTAAGCACGAATATGAATCATTATTCTCAAAGGATGATAAAGACGACTCGATATTACGCTATTTGTATGTCTTGTATTTGTATATTCCCCAAATAGAACCAACATCACTTGTATATTCTTATTTCTCTTTTTTACTCAATATCTCGTACGCGGTCATATTACTTTTTGCTTCGACCTGACGTATTTTCGGGCATCATTCTCATTTAACGACAGAAAAGTATCTGTGATAGACATAAAACCATTATTGAGAACCGCTACGAGCCGAACGGATACCAGAAAGACTACCAATGGGTCTTAAAATACTGATGCTCCATGGATACGCCCAAAACGGAGACACAATGAGAATAAAGACACGAAAGTTACATCATTTTCTGGAAATTGTTTTTCCAGATACTTCTATGATATTTCCCACGGGTCCCGTACCTTTGTTACCAAACCAATTTCTTGGGAAGCCGTACGATGGACAAACATTGAACGGTGATACTGAAGGTCTAGAAGCATACGCTTGGTTTTCTATGTACTACCATTATGACCCGCCCAATGGTTTATATGATACCTTCCAGCTTATAGCTCATATCTTGAAAACTGAAGGCCCGTTTGATGGAATCATGGGCTTTTCACAAGGTAGTGCTATCTGCAGTATGGTGGCTTCTATACTCGAAGGACAATTTAGGAAACAGGCTTTCGATATCGCCAAGTTGAACCTACCTTCTTCTATTCCGTTTCCTTCGATGTTCGAAAATCTCGATCACCCACCATTCAAATTCGGTATCACTTTTGGAGGTGCAATAGCTGAGAGTGCGAAGTATGATGGCTTTTACAAGAATCCTTGTATTGCGACGCCGTTTTGCCACTTCATAGGGCAATATGATAGTGTGGTAGATAGTCTCCAGACAATGGCATTGATAAGGGCTACGGGAGGACCGGATAAAGCGTGGACATTTCAGCACCATGGAGCACATTTCATTCCTACGGACTCGAAGAGTCTCGAATACCTGGTCTCGTTTATTCTCCAGGCGACAAGCAAGCATCTAAATGCAGACCTTTCGTTACCTTTGAGATATAAGGACCTTTCTCGTTTAAAAATCCCATCTTTCCAACAAGCCTGAAGATAAATCTGGTATTGAAGCTAACCAATTACTCTTAGCTGGTTTTTCTATACTTCTTCATCTTCAGATAATTCTCTGAGAGATATTTTATTCCTCTTGAGTGTGGTGCGGCAGAAAATTATAATTTAATTCAAAGAACATTACGTTCACAGATGAACAAAATAAATTACGTAAAAAAAGTGTGTAAGTAGTCTTCCTAGCTCTCAGAAATTCCTCCACCACTTAAGTCGAATTTCGCAAACTACGCATTCCAGGTTCAGATCAAGTCGGAAATCATGGAAAATCACGCATTTTGTTCTTGAAATAGGTAAATTGACTCTTTTTCTACTAAGTGAAACTGTGAGATTTGCTCATATCAGGGGAAATAAGGCCATTTATAGGTGAAATCTTTACTTATATATCCCTGTATCTGCTCACAATGTCTATCAAGTAGTGTAATTGTCCATCTTGCCATCTAGCCTTCGAGGTGAGCAGTAGAACTAGGAAATGACAAAATTCGCCTTTTAGGGATAACTGATATGCCATATCATATAGTTAGGTCATATTGTTGTTGCTACTAATATTTGTTCCCAACGCGCATTAAATTTGCGAACAGGTGGTGTAAAAATAAGAATGGATTTTCACCGTAGATTTAGAGCTACATCTGCCTGTAAGGAAACAAGCATTGCATTTTAAATAGCCATGCTTGGTCGGGCGATAGTTGGAGCAAAATCCCACCTGGTTTATGTACTGGACTGGTTCCTTAGTTAGAAGGCTATGGATAAAAACCAGGTTACTATAGTATCTGTTTGGGTCTTAAGGCATAATAAAGCATTGTACCTGATCAAAGAGTAGGCCACGGCGGTGATCCTAAAATATTGCCACCGAATAAGTACCGTTCCCTAGACCAGGAAGACAACAAATCTTAATTACACTGCCAAAGAAAAGCCTGCCATTCTGACAGCTGTAAGATCGACTATCGTAGAAAGAAGTGAGTTGTACTAAGTTTGTAGGCTACACGGAAACGATAACCCTTTGAAAGATCAGTTGCCTTTCGGATTAACTGCTGGGCTTTACTAAGTCAAAGATTATGAAGTCTCATTGCATATTCAATGAAGACCGGTAGTGAGATCTTAGATCGATTCATGTAGCCGGAAACTAACGTTATTGTCATACGTGTTTTACACCGGCAACCTCTGTCCGTGATTTAAGAAGCTGAAATATCGGGGACCACAACTGTCGAAATAAAGCAACAACTCACTGAGTTTTTTGACTCCTAATCTGTGCGCTAATACACTTGTAGATATCTATTCGTAGGTACCGCTAAAACTTCTGAAGCTTTTTTTGCCTCTTCCCAAGCCCCACCTCTCTTTCTGTGCTCCGTCGGACGACAACTAAGCGACCGGAAATGGTGGTGAGTTGCTTTACTGATCGATAGAGGCATCACTACCTAGACTTGACATTGATCTATATCTTACCGAACTGGAGGTTGTTACAATCATTTATGCTTGGCTTTGCCCCTTACTCGAGTATCCGTACGGATTTCGCCGTATGCCCTCGGGTCAAGGCGCGATATCCACTGGGGCCATTTCTGGATAGAGTAAGTAGTTCAATTCCACGGCCCTCGGCTGAAAAGCCCACATGCATCATCGATTTTCTGTGTCTTTCAAAGCCGACTTCAAAGACGTGAGATTTTAGTACAAGCAAGACTAAACGGTTTCACTCGAGTAGTACGTATATAAATATTCAACTCCCTACAGAGTATGTACATGTGCTATAGCTAGTTTTATGTTGAGGAGGATTGTAATAAGTACTCATCTGAATCATTTTGCAAAATGATCACCAGAGTGGCGCTGGCTGGAGTGAGTGTTGGGCTTCTATAAATTAAGCAGAGGCTAACTCGTCAGTAGAAAGGCCGATTCGGTTCGGTGGTTCTAGATGAGGTTCTTATGGCCGGTTTCAAGCCTACAGTCCTGACACGGTCGGCATCCACGATAATGGGTGTGTCCGATGGCGTCCCAGTCTATGAAGTGAACTATGCTTCGGAAGAGTCTCTTCGAGAAGCCTTGCAGGGCCATGATGCCGTAGTTTCTGCGGTTGCCGGTACAGCAATCGCAAGCCAGAAGCCGCTCATTAACGCCTCTATTGCAGCCGGAGTCAAGCACTTCATCCCGGCTGACTATGCCATGAGTCTCAAGAGTACCGAAGTGCGAGCGCTACCACCGTATACAGATGTAAAGGAAATTGAGGATTACCTTCGCGCAAGGTCTGCCGATATAGAGTGGACTATTGTCGCTTGCGGTGGGTTTCTAGAATACATATATGACCTGCCGTTTCTCATCGAGCTGGACAAGCGCAAGATTGATATTATCAATGAAGGTGATATCCCCTTCAGCGTTTCGGAATTTCGTACTGCTGCCAAAGCTGTCGCTGGCGTCCTCCAACAGCCTGAACGGGTCTTTGATCATTGTGTTCAAGTCCATGCCATGACCATCACACAAAATGGCACTTTTGATATTGTGAGAAAGTACGATCCGAATCCTGATGATTGGACAGTCAATGAAGAGGACGCAGAAGTCAAGTTCAAGCAGGGGATGGATATGCTGCAGAGAGGGGAGCTGACTATGGCGGCTGTTACGACTCTGATGGCTGGAGAAATCTGGGGTGGCAGGTGTAAGGTGGCGTTCGAAGAGACGGATAACGAGTGGTTAGGAGTACAACTGATCTCGCACGAGAGGCTAGAAAAGATTTTAAAGAGCAAGGTTACAAAGGTATTAGCAGCATTGCTTCTAACCAGATTGTTAGCAATTACTGATTGCTAGAGTAAATTTTAACAGAAATACAAAACAGCATATTCAAACCTCTAATAGAGGTGGGAATTTGCAGCGGGGTCGAAATTTCTGGAAAACCGAAGTGTAGTTTTAGGTTGTACGTCTCGCAAGCCTGGTTCAGTTCTTTGTGATGTCGTGATAGGATATCTGAACCCTAAACCCTAAGAGCTATCTACAATAGACTATCTTTTTATAATTATAACTTTCCAACTGAGCACTACTATAAAAATCTATACAGTATAAAGAGATATAATAAGTGTCAGAACGTCAATATCAAATCCAACATCAGACCCCACCACCTAGCAACTGCGCATCTACTATATATGCTCCTGGATAAAATTATCCAATCCTCAAGCTGAGCGCCATTGCAGCTACGATAAAAGCCGCAATCCGATATCCTCTTTGCCAATCCTTGCGAACGGCTGATCCGACCTCTTCAACCACCCCGGCAAAGTCGCAGCCTGAGGTAGCATCAGGCGTAAGAGGGAGATCCATGTGCTTCCCACGATTATCGAGCCATCAGCCCGGTTATTTGTGGAATTACTAAATACGACGTACCAGTCAGTAGAGTTGAGTGTAAAACGGTTGACTTTGCACAGAACATAGTTATCCCGCAGCCTAGGCACCGGTACCTCCTGAATTGCCGCTGCTCCACAACCGATTACTTTGATTGCCTTCATGATTCTCCGACTATACTTTAATATGGGGATGATCCTTGCCTCGTTGTGTTTTCGAGAGGATCGCGGCTGGATAAGGATACTGTTCAATCAATAGACTCTTATAGTGCATTCATTGCTGGCCTGCACCGTAGAATAGATTTAATTCGACTCTGTCGGCCTTCATGCAGATTTCAGCCCGACAATAGAAGTACCCTGACATCATTCGAATGCGCGCTAATTCCTGTCGTAGATGGACAATTTTCGAAGTATCATATATTAGCACGTGTTTCCCCGATACAGCATTTGCCGTGATTACTCTTAGTCGTCCGTGGCCGCTTATGTGTTTTATTTCTAAAGCAAGAGTTTCCTGTCGTAGTCGAGACGAGCAGATGCCTTTGGAACGGGGTGACCAAGAAAGGAGGAGTATTCAAGCTCGAACAATACCTTTATCGTTTAATGGAGAATTACAGTCCTACCACGTTTCGGACACTACCTGACTTAAAGCGAGGCAGTAAAAGAACACAGTGCGTTAATGTTCAAAGTCTTTACTCTGGTGGGGCGTTGCAGCTGTAGATAATGTAACGTATTTAAGGTTGACGATTAGAAAGAAAAGCGTATTCGGACATCTCGAGGTAATGTTTCTGACTTAGTGCTGGTATGAGTATAATAGTAGCTTCAAATAAAATAAAGCATTATAACTCATTGTATCCATCCTATTAGGGGCACAGTTATGACAGGCGTATTTGACGTTGAAAATCGCTGAAACAAGCGTATTCGGATGCAACGGCCTTGGAAATCTGTGCTGATGTAAATCTCGCTACTCTTTAGGACTGTAGTTTTGCCGCTTAATCGATTATCCCTTCCGCGTAGCTAGTAGGAGAAAAGATATTTCCGGGCAACTGAAATGATTGCGACATAGTTGGCTTGCTTAGGTAGCTAGCTATATTATATAATACGCTCCTAGTTGTCCGAGTGAACGTATTATAAGCGGCTCGCAATACCGGTTCATCTACTCGGCTGAAGTAGTCGCTTAAAACACTAAGATAATTACTAATGTTGTGGCGATTGATTCATGTACTAAGCCTTCACACATAAATCCAAGTAAATTGCTAGTAGTCTGCTACATTTATAATATGGTTGTACTTTTAGTGTATTCTGTATCAGGCTTCTGTACCCACAGCGTATTTCATAATCAGTACTTGATGAATTCTTGGTCCACCAGCCGAAAGCAACTCTTCCAGGGCGACGATTACGTGGAAATCCCCATCTTCCCTTAACTCGGAAGTGTGGTTTAATTATTGTTGTAGTTACCGTAAGATATATAAAGGCATTATATGCCCACATTGAATGAGGACATTTTCTATATTCTCTAGTATTACTCTTTTCAAGACTCCAAATCTCTCTTCAAAAGCATACATCTCCAACCGCCACAATGCGTTTGATGGCATCCGCAGCCGCGCTAGCGTTCGTAGCACCAGCATTCACAGCATCGCTAGTTCGATCAGATACTACCCAAAACCAGTCCGGATTTGCAGAGAACCCAGCTCTCTACATGAAAGGCTTCCGGAATCCAAGGATAGTTACTTCAGTGGGCGGTCATGCGACATGTATTTCAGGGATTCTTGACGTGAATGCATCCGCCACGAATCAACACCTTAATGTCGAAATGCCGGCGAATTCGTCTGTCGTGACTGAGCTTATACTTGAAATCTTCCAAAGCAATTCAACATATGCAGAAAATTATGGCGGTCCCCCAACTGAAGTCAGCGGAACCTATGGAATCTACTCACAGCTCTGTTTTCCGAATGGCAAAATTGACACAACAACTATTCAGCTGCTCACACATGGCATCGGCTGCGATAGATCCTACTGGAACTTAGTGCCAGACTACTCCTATGTTGACTACGTTGCCAAACAGGGTTATACAACTTTCTTCTTTGATCGTCTTGGAACAGGTCTCTCTGATCACCCAGATCCAATCCAGGTTGTACAACTACCGCTACAAGTGGAAATCCTCCACAGCATTGTTCAGCTTCTCCGCACAGGGGCTATCGCGGGCCATAGTTTCAAACATGTGATTGGCGTCGGCCATTCTTATGGAAGTATCCAGACTCAGGCGGTTACAGAAAAGTATCCGCAGGATTTTGATGCCGTAATCTTGACGGGCTTTACAACATCTGTGACCGGAATGCCTATTGCCTTCTCCAGCCAGGACTTGGCAATTGCTTCTGAAGTCCTGCCTACTCGCTTTACAGGTCTTTCAAATGGGTACTTAGTCACTAGCCATATCCAGGGCATCCAGTTCTTGTTCTTTCGGGCGCCGAGTTTTGATCCAGCACTTTTGAACCTAGCGGATTTGACGAAGCAGACTCTCACTGTCGGCGAGCTCATCAGTTCACGTTCTCCTTCAGTCGCACCGAAGTTTACCGGCGCTATTGATGTAGTTGTTGGAGAGAATGACGTGCCGGACTGCCAAGGAAATTGTTTCTACCCGCAGAACTTGGTGTCTTCCGTCCAGGGTGAACTTTTCCCGGTTGCACGTAACTCTTCTAGCTGGTACATCGTGCCTGGAACAGGACATGGAATAAACTTCCATTATACTGCTAATGAGGCTTACGCACAAATGCAGACCTTTCTCAGGAACAATGGGTTCTAAGCGGCACGGAAAGCTCGAGTCTAATCTTGAAAGTACGCATTGAAACATTGCCTATCAACGTATTTCTGCAATGTTTGCTATCCTTTCCTGGGGCTTTGGACATTGGAAATTACATCATTTTATCGCCTCTTATCTGCTAAATTGAATAATATATTTTTTATTTTCATTCGACCTTTTTGGGTCATATTAATGTATCTGTAGTTATGAGTTCCGGTGTTTATATTCTAGCAACTTGTCGTAAACCGGTGCTGTCGAGCGCCTACATCAATGTAACGTAGTCACTAAATTGCAGTTCGATGGTATTAACTGCTATAACCAAATGCCTTTCCTGATTGGTACAAGATTCTGCCTAGTATTATGCAAGTTGGATTCGTAAAAAAGAGGTACTGTTATCCAACTTAGCGGAAATTCACTTAGATCCAACAGGAGTCAACGACGATAGCATGCACCGCATCCTTTGTTGGCTTTCAGCGGATATACATCCGGCTACATGCCGTTGGTTTCGATGGCATTAGGCCATACGTGAAGAACAATAGAGTCTGTGACAGATTGGCCCTGGCTATTGTCTGTGCATTTTCTGGAGTAAGTGGTGAATCATTGTGGGGAATCATAATTGGAAGGTACCATTGTTACCCCAAAGTAGGCCGGGAAGATCCTGCAATCTGCGGAAGACATTGCCGAACTATGTATTAAAGGCCGATGAACGCCGTCTCGCCCCGTCTCTATACCTCTTTCACAGGAGCAATCAGGGTGAAATAAATAATACCACATCATCTGGTTTTGCATAAATCAGTATGTTTGGTGACTTCTCACTCTCCGAAAAGATCTTAGTCATTACCGGTGGCGCATCCGGTATGTTTCCAGTCACGCTGTTTTTGTTTTTTTTGGCAATGAAATCATCGACTAACAGGTGGAATTCCTCGAGTAGGGATTGGCTTCGCTCTCGCAGAGTTAGCTCTTGAGTCCAATGCGAAAGTGATTATCGCCGATCTGAGACCGACGGCTGATTCCACTCGGCTGGCGAAGGATCATGATAGGGKTCGCTTCATAAAATGCGATGTGAGCAGGTGGGAAGAACTGTTAGCGATCATTCATTTGTCCGAAAAGGAGTTCGGGGACGTTCCAGACATTTATGTAGCAAATGCTGGGGTTCCGGAGACGGTAAGCCAGGCATCTTCCTTTCCCATACGTAAAGAGCCAACCCTCTAATGATAGCGGATACATAGGAAAAGAATAGCTTTTGGGATGACAATGAAGACGAACGATACAGTGCATTGGATATCAACTTTTATCATCCCATCAAGCTCACTCGCCTCGCGATTCGGGCCCTCCTTAGGAAAAAAAAGAAAGGCGTTGTCATAATAACCTCGTCAATTGCTGGCCTGCATGGACACTTTTCAACGGCATTGTACAGTGCGGGTAAACATGGTACCATTGGATTCATCAAGAGCTTAGCAGCAGCGGAAGAGGAGGCAGAAGTGAAGGTAGTGGGAATATGTCCAGGGTAAGGAATACAGCAAGCAACTACCTACTTCATGTCGATCACAATATGCTGGACTATGTTAACGCATGACTTTCTTTCCTCTTTTCAGACCTGTTCGTACGCCTTTGATGACCACACAGGGGGGGAAATTGAATCGCATTGACGAAGGCCCAACTCTAATCGAGCCAAACGAAATTGCCAAGAGAATGAAGGAGCTCATCGAGCAAGGGAAATATCATGGTGGGGTGGCTTTGGGGGTGTACGGACCGGGACATGCAGAGGTTGTAGCGGATGGTTCGACTAGTGTTTTGGAAACTATGTGCCCTCCCGATTTGATTGCTGTTCGTAAGATTATTGCAGCAGAGAGAGATATTTAGAATTTTTCGAATGACTTATCAGAAGGAAACGTAAAAGCTTTCATGTGTGTCTACTCGAAGGAAAGGACATTCCTTGTTTCATAAAGAGGCCCAGTCCCCCTGTTATTCATACTCGGGTATATAACATCATTGTTGTCAATATTGTTGGTATATGAAGTAGTTTAGATGTGATTTCCATATCAGAGAAATGAAATCTACCTTGTCTCGTGTAGTATTCCCAACAAAACTTCTATTATCAAAAATGGACCTTTGAAAACATATATTTCATTGACTTTACGGTTGATTTATGATGCTTTCTGAAGTAGCTTATCTACTGTCGTATTCCATAACGATGAGAACAAATAATTCTCATAAAGGCACGCGCAGCTTCGAATCCCTATGGTAGCTAAAGCTCCATAGATAGCGCTCCGGTACAGTCCAATCGAACGAGAACCCTCTTCCATATTTAGGTAGATCCTAAGAAGAACTACCAAAGATAATTCACTAGAGACAAAAGCCACTAAAGAAAAGCGGCAAGTATACGCGTAAATGTAGATTTTATTACAGTTGCTCTGCTCATCTTCAAAAGCGAGCAAGTAGATTGGAAAACTTTTAACAACAAGAGTTAGACAACCCATACTACTCTTAGCAGAATACTTGGCTTTCAGATGATACTGTCGGTTTTCGTTTTGGCAATGATACAATACGGTAGGTATGCCGCCTTGGGATATCGATGCTATTTTTCCGCTCAAGGCACTGCGAATATAGTTTCTCATGCGGAATATTTAGCTGATAGAACTGCGAAACTCGAAGTTGCGATCGTTCCATTTGTGATACGAGTGAATGATTTTAGGAAGAGCAGTCTTTCCTTTCTTTTTCCAGATAGCCTGTCGTAATGAAATGGCTCGCACATATTCTTCATTAGAAGTCGTGGGAAGGGACAGCGATATGCTCAATGGACGTGTTTCTCCAGTATATACGATGCACATACAGGAGGCCAATATTACCTTTATTTGGTGTTTCACGTCATTGGGTTAGATGTTGACCGTTTTGGCAGAACCGCCTGAACTTCCAAATGTTAGCGCACCCGGCTGCTCGTGTATTGGCCGCGGTTCTACGGCAGCCTATAGGTACGTTCCGGGGATAAAGATGATCTTAGTAAGCAGGCTCAGTGAAACAAGATACGCTAGCTCGACCCCTAACGGATGCCGCATCCGACTTTGGTTGCGGAACTAAATCCATTGAAAGGTATCTGCTGGAAGCGAAGCAGCCCATCAATAATGTCAGGATATCAAATATAGTACTGAATATGCCCCGTACCAGGCCTAGTCTTTTCAACTGGCGGGAGATGAAAATACCGCGGAAACTGATCCGCTTCAAGCATCGGTTTTGAGAGGCACAAGTATGGGCCGGGCCCCAATAAAACTCCAAGGCCCTGGAACCTTTGATTGGTTGTAACAATGGAATGAAAACGAATTTAACATGGCCATCGCACTCTCTCCTGAAGTGACCACAGAAATCCGGAAGCTGATAGATGATGCCTGCACAAATGAACACGCTTGCCTACCTTGTGCTAGCGTCGTTGTGGTTGGCAAGGGTAACAACTCACCAACTGAACTCTTTGTGCATTCAAGAATGATGGAGGACCTAGGGAGACATCAAGAAAAGGGAAACCATACTGAGACAACTTCACGCTCTACAACGGGCTTTGATGGTATCTACTGGCTTGCTTCCTGTACTAAACTGGTCACTGGGATTGCGTGTATGCAGCTCGTCGAGCAGGGGAATCTTAGGCTCGATGACAGCGATCAAGTGGAAAAAATATGTCCAGAGCTAGGCGATGTCAAAGTCTTGCGGGAAGATGGATCGTTAGTCGACAAAAAGAAGCGGATCACGCTCAGAATGCTTTTGACTCATACCGGTAAGTTCATTGCATTTATGATAGAAAATTTCACCTATTTCTTTTGCACATGGGAACACCGGCATTGACAATCGTCTATTGAATTAAGCCGGATTTGGTTATTCATTCTTGAATGCGAAGCTTCGGACCTACGCTGGTCGAAAATTTCCTCACCGGCCTGTCTATGACGAGTTTTCTGGAAGGCTTGATGATTTCCTTCAGCCACTCGTGAATCAGCCTGGAGAACGATTTGAATACGGTGTAAGTTCGTTTACATCATCAAACTCTAATGCAAAAGTCATGTCATATTTGTGTTAAAGTGAAACAGATCAACATTGACTGGGCCGGCATAATAATTGAACGAGTGACGCACTTGAAGCTGAATGACTACATGCAACGATATATTTTATCGCCGTTGAACATCAAGGATGTTTCAATGTTTCCATCATCACATATGGAAGAACGGCTTATCGGCCTGTGGCAGCGTGATGCAAATGGACAGCTGTCTCGCCGAGATTATCCTTTGAACCGGCCGTTGAGTCACAAATCCACCACGGATGCATTCCATAGTGGCGGGGCGGGCTTATTTGGAAGCATTCGGGAATATAGCAGTATGATTGTACCCATGATTGACCACCATACTAATCCGTCCTTGTATTGATATTCGATTTTGACAGAGCTTCTCTCGGCACTGCTCAATGACGGCACGTCATCTGAGACTGGGAGGACAATTCTTTTGCCAGCGACAGTCAGAGAAATGTTTACAAACCAACTTCCCCAACATCCAGACTTTGCGCGAAGACATCTACCTGCCGTCAAGCAAGACTTGGTCTATCCTGTTAAACAGCTTTATCCCCTTTGTCCGGCCTCCTCCCCTCAAGGATGGGGTATTACATTTATGATCTCACCGGGCTTGACTGGGCGCTCCGATATGACAGCTCACTGGTCAGGCCTGTCTAATATCTTCTGGTGGTGTGATCGTGAAACCGGGGTTGCAGGCATTGTTGCATCGCAGGTCCTTCCTTTTGCCGATCCAAAGAGTATTCAGCTATGGACGGACGTCGAAGCGAAAGTGTATCAAGGATTGCATTAAGGGATGATCCCGAGAAAACATTTTTCGTTGTCATACATCTACTTGTCCCTAATGCTAGTGGTTATCTCGTAATAGCGAAATCCACGAATGTATCGTGAACCTTTACCTAGGGCATTCAGATTAAACGTTTTATTCTCACCTTTTTACAATCAAAGGTGATTTTTAGATGGACCCATTAAATGTCCTTACGTTCATTCACAATTCCATCTAGCTCCAAATCAGGTTTTTAATTAGAACTTAAGATGTTTTTTCACCTTTCGTGATAGCCCACTTAAGACAGATTCTTTTCCGTCTTAACACAGTCAAAAAGATGATATCATCAGTCCTACTGTAGCTTTCAAAATGGACAGACTCGTCGACAGAGTGACATTGCGGTCTTCCGGATTGATCGGCAACCAGGTGCACGATTATCTGATGAATCTGCACTCCTGGAAAGGTGCCTAGCGAATGTCCCAATGCCAAACGTTCATTTCCAGAAGCCGTATGACTTAGGAACACAGCTAATGAAAGGCTTAGGCATAGTGACAAAGGTATAACCATTCAGAGATATATAGTTGCTTAATTTAGATTACGTCTCTTGCCACAGATGCAGTAGTCCCGCTACAATTTCCATTCCATTCTTTGTGAGCAATTTGCGAACACCACCCAAACACCCATAGATCTCGTGTGCCCAAACGGAAGCAATGGAGCGGACGACGCACATACATGCAAATCTAGCAGATACCATGTATATAAATTAGAACGGGCTTATTTTCCGCATCACTGTCGAATCACACGATATCATCCCACTCTAGTATGGGCTTTACAACCTATTGGACGCATCAGTAATCAGTTTTCCTAATGGTGCTTCCACATTATAGCCACTAACAAGTCCAAATTGCAGATCATTGATTGCTTGACCTATTTGGATGGCCGGGTACACTTTTGCGAGGCGATCAATGGGAAATTGGCCATCTCGAAAAAGTCGGAAGATTTGAGGGACGAACTGTAGGGTGATCAGTCAGAAGGTCTTGCTCCCTTGGTCAGGTATGATAAAATGTCTATACCTTCTTAGGGTCACAAAGCCCTTCAATAACACCGGTTACACGTTTGCAAGACAACAACAGGTCTAATGCATTAATATTCAATGTCGCATTCGCTGGCGGCACACCTACCAGTGCCAGTGTTCCGCCATGACCTAGACACTGAATGGCGGTTTCCAACAAMCCTGCCGATCCTGTCGTATCAATGATCTTGTCAGCACCATTAGGTAGGATTGCCCGGAGACTCCCTTCGAGGTCGGGCTGCGTAGAGGTGTTGACTGTATTTGTGGCCCCAAGAGAAAATGCCAAGTTCAGCTTTGTGTCAAGGATATCAAGAGCCACAATGTGCTTCACTCCAAGAGCCTTTGCAGCCAGTATTGCCGCACAGCCGACTGCACCCAGCCCAAGTACCACAACGCTGTCCTCGGCCTGCGGCTGAAGCACGTTGATGACTGTTGCCGCACCCGTTAGATACCCGCACCCCATTGGTGCTAAGTACTTCAGCTCTTCCGGGTGTGCATCAAGCTTGATCAGGCATTTCTCGGTGACAACGGCCAATTTGCTGAGTGACGACTGCCCAAAAAACTGTCCGTGCACACTCCTCCCATCAGGCAAGGATATAGGTGATTTTTGGCCAGGGCCCTTGCGAGCAGTGCTAAGGAAATTGATATTTGTCATATCAGGGCAGCCACCGCACTGGGAGGCTTTGCAACTCTTACAATTCTGACAAGTGTGGAATGACAGAATCACAGTATCCCCGAGTGTGAGCGACTTATCCGCCACAGCGGAGCCGATCCATCGCACAACACCGAGACCCTCATGGCCAAGTACGACGGGATAGTCACCAATGGGCATACCCCCTTTTGGCACCACAAGATCCTACATCGTCGTCAGAAGAGATATTGAAACTATGCGGATCTTAGTATAACGACACACCGTGTGGCACAGACCAGTATATCTCATCTCAATCAACACCTCATCGGACCGGACCTCGTCCAGAATCACCTCTCGAAGGATAAATGGAGCCCCTTTGTGGTCAACAACATATGCCTGCGTGTGAATATTCTTCGGTCCTTCCATATTTTACCGGTTGATTTTAGGCCTGAAAAACCGAAGAGAGTTGAAACGGAATGGTTTCATGATTGGAAGTTCGATTCAAGTACATACTGGTTATGATAACCATAACACAGAGTGTGCGGTATTTACATCCGGGGCATACTGGAGGAAAGCTGGAAATTCACCGGTTCGCAAGTCCACTTCGTTCGTCCGGGGATAATATCCTCTGCTCAACTGCCCAATAAAGTCACTTCAGGATACACCAAGCGTCGTTCCTACATCCGAGCCTTTCGAGCCTCCGGATCACTCCCCGCAATAAAATTGTGGAGAAGAGTGTACGGTCCCAGTTTTATTTGTTCGAAAAACAATACTTAAGTTTCAGACCTAGAACCAAGCCATGGATGGCAAAGAGCTGCTTCTTATTGAAGGAATTCTGGCCAGTATAGGCTCTTATACCCCACTTGTTATTCTCGACGCATTTTTTTGACTTCACCCGACCAAATGGCTGGCCCGAAGGAGCTTGCTCACGAGCCTATTGCCGACGGCCTCCTCTTCGGCGAATCGCCCCGATACAGAAACGGCTTGATATACATTAGCGACATGACCGGCCGCGCAATCTACACTATCAATCCTTCTTCAGGCGAGAAAAAGAAGCTGTTTGTGGCCGAAAATCAACCGAATGGCATGTGCTTTGCGCCTGACGGGTCTCTCATCTGGTCTTCAATGTTCGACGCCAAGTTATATCGACGCGACTCAACCGGTACTACCACCCTATATTCCGACCTTTCCAACGTCATGACTGGGTACTGCGGTGATATGGCGATCGACACCAATGGCCGTGTGTATTTAGATGACACGGGCGCACGAGTCTTGCACGGCGAGCAGCCGCGACCAGGTCGACTGCTGATCGTCGAGACGGATGGCTCGGTGTATGTGGCAGACGAGAATATTATTTTCCCAAATGCTTTGTTCATCAGCAATGACGGGAATTCAATTTACTGTGCTGAGACATTCGGGTACGGCCTGCTAAAGTGGGATATTGGAGCAGATGGAAGACTGTCGAATCGCCAGAAAGTGTGGTCGCCTGCAGCTGTCTCGCCGACCGGACAGACAGGAATAACATCACATGGTCTGATTGGCATAGATGGCGGATGCATGGATGCGGAAGGAGGAATGTGGCTCAGCTTGCTGGGCCTCGAGAAATTCATCCGCCTCGATCAGCAGGGTATTGTGACCCATGAGATCAACGTCAATGGCCATGCTACAGCTTGTACACTTGGTGGTGAGGATGGTATGACTCTTTATTTGGTTACGAACTGGTTCCCCGAGGATGAGGAGAGTATTTTCACGGCTATGGTGGCCAAAAAAACGAGGTGTACGGTCAGCTACGCAAAGGTGGACATTCCAAAAGGGACTTCCAGGCCGTGAGCATTACTTTTGAGAAAACAGAGCCTCTATTGCTAGAACAATGGAGAGAAAAGGGAAGTTGGAGGCAGATGATGGCGCCGGATTTGCATACAGTGAAAAATAATAGGGTAAACGAAACTGAGTGTCCGTAAGGAAAAACTTAGGACATGAGGCAGCGGACAATTCGAGCTATTGACTATCAGGCCGTCAGAACATGGGCAGATTACACAACAAATATAAAACATACTGGGGACAATGATAATTATGCGAGCTACAAATTATAAATCTGATGAATATAAATCCTTTCGAAATTTGAACATACATTTTCGAGAATAATGATATACTCCTATTGCTCATATGACAATACATAGCTCACTACTGACACGAGATGTATTTTAGCTGCAAGTAATACAACTAACTCGTCAAGGTCGATATACCATGTGGTTTCTCAAGTTTGAAACCCCGACAAGGCTTCGAAAGCATCTTCAAGCCATCGGTTCAAGGATGGACAAAGTGATGATGCCTGAGCCATGAACAAAGACGATTTCGGCTATATTTAGGAATATTGGATTTTCCAAATGGAGGCCACTTATTCATATCGCGGTCAGACTTTCTAACTGTCCTTGTGCATGGATAGAGCGTTCCAAGAGGCAATCCTGTATGGACAGCAACTATCAACCTGACGGGGAGGACACGACTTAAATATGAATACAGAAAAACCGAAAAGTTCGTAGTAATATTCTACAAGTTTGAACGACGATATCTGTTTACGTGCGTGATTACTTTGGCGGCTACTCTGCCTTGGACACAGCGTGAAATTCCAAGTCCTTGGTGATACTTCCGTACTTGGCCTTCCAAAGATCCACAATATAGTTTACCCGCCCTTTCCACGGCCCAATGTCCCCGCATCGAGGCATGCTGCTAGTGGCCTTCTTGACATAGGTCGCGTCTAGGTTCCACAAACGTCGCGGTTGGATGGGAGATCCAGCCGGCACGCGGGGGACTACTGTGTCGTAGCCCTTCTTCTTCATATGTTGCAAGAGTCTGCACAGGAGATGGGCGGTAGTCTCAGCACCGAGTGTCCAAGAGGCGTTGATATACCCAATAATGAGTGCTAGGTTTGGTACGTCTTCTAGGAGTGCAGCATGCCAGGCAAAGCGGTCCGCTAGGTCGATGGGTTTGTTATCAACATTGATACTGATGCGCCCGCCAATGGCAAGTTTCAATCCTGTAGCAGGGACAATGATATCGGCATCCAGCCAGTTTCCTGACTCTAGTATGACACCGTTCGCCTTCACGCACTTGATATGGCCAGTTTCCACACGAGCCTTCCCTATTCGCAGACTTTCGAAGAAGTCACCATTCGGTGCAAAGCAGAGACGCTGATCCCAGGGTTTATAATGTGGCGTAAAATGCGGATCAACAGGTGTGTGGTCTGGAAGCTGTTTTTCCACAGCTCCTTGCAGGACCTTTCTGGATCGCTCGGGGAACAACCGACAGATTTTGTATAAGATGATTATAGTCCACATGAAAATCCATCGATCAATTTTGAAAGACCAGTTCTGGGGCAGGAACTTGTGTCTCCAAGAACGATCAGTCGTGTTATCTATGGACATGATATACGTGGGACTGCGCTGTACCATCGTAACATGGGAAGCCTTTGCTGCAATGTTGGGCAGAAGCGTGATGGCAGTTGCTCCACTACCAATGATCACGACCCGCTTGTCAACATAGTCGAGGTCATCCGGCCAGAATTGTGGATGTGCAATCGCGCCCTCGAAACTACACAAGCCGGGGATCTCGGGCTCAAGACCTTTGCTATAATCGTAGTAACCTGTTCCCAAAACGAGGAATCGAGCTTGGAGCTGGACCCGGTGACTGGCCTCTATCTCAACATGCAGCTCCCACAACCGCAGGGTGGAAGACCAATTTGCGGAATCAACACGGTGTCGTAGTAGGATGTGTCGGTCGATGCCCTCAATTTTGGCAGACTCATGGAGGTAAGAAGCTATGGACCCGCCATCTGCAATGGCCCGGTTTTCACTCCACGGATTCCAACCAAAGCCGAAAGTGTGGAGGTCTGTGTCGGAGCGAATACCAGGGTAGCGAAACAGGTCCCATGTGCCTCCGATATTGCTCCGGCCCTCGAGAATGCAATAGGTGAGATTAGGAAGCTTACGCTGGATGTGATGAGCAGTATTGATTCCGGAAATTCCAGCGCCTACAATTATGACATCGTAGACGCTAGCGGAGGAGTGGTCTAAGTCATTCATGTCAAACGGTCTCTCGGTGTACCTGAAGTTTTGGTGTATGAAGAATTTAGAGATCATATAGTCAATTCACTTATAAATGCAAAGGTCCACTCAAGCCAGCGAATTATTTCTATTTGCCCTCGACGCGCGGGAGGTGATCCGGAATTCGTGAGGCTCCCCAGATACCCGTTGTGCACTTGCGGATGTGAACCCGTGCGCACCCTCCCCACGTTTTGTTCCCCAGTTTTGGGTGAGAATTCAATGAAGATAGCCTGAAGCCTAAAGATTAAGCCAGAGACCTGGTTAAAGAGCAATTGCGGAAGCGTTTCCATACCTGCCGGGAAAATTTCCCCAGATACTGTTTTGCTCTCCGCCTGATTTGATTGCGGAGTAACGGGGAACGCCCAATTGGCATGATAATGCATGATCCCAGGCTCTTTATGGGCTACGACCGCAAACTCAAGGGAAGTACTATAAATAAACTAGAATCATTGCCTTGGATAAGCCAGCTGCGGTGCCCACTAAAACATTCAGGAATAGAAGTCCTTCTAATTATCGACATTGTTATTTCAAGTCTCGCTATTAAACAAGATGCCTCCCAACAGAATCGACGTCCACCATCACTTCGTTCCGGACTTTTACCGTAAAGGTCAGCGTCTCATGTATCCTTTACCATTTTAATGTCTAACAAATATGCATCAGCCGTCCAAAGCTCGGGTGGCGATCCGTCTGGTTGGTTTATCCCTGACTGGACCCCAGAGCTTGATGCAAAGGTGAACCAGAAGTTTGGTATCACAACCAGCATCCTGTCTTTAACGGCGCCTGGTGCCTGTATTCTCAAGAGTCCTCAGGCTTCTGCGGATCTTGCACGCAAGGCCAATGAGTATGTCGCCAAACTGCGCGACGAGAATCCCAAAGGATATGGTTTCCTGGCGGCGCTACCAAACATCTTGAATAAAGACCTAGCCCTGGCTGAGCTCGACTATGCCTACGACGTGCTCAAGGCAGATGGTGTTGTTCTCTTTACCCGATATGGCGAGGATAACCACTACCTTGGCCACCCTGACTTCAAGGATATCTGGGCGGAGCTAAATCGCCGCTCGGCAGTTGTCTTTGTGCATCCTACCCACCCAGTGGATATCAGCCGGGTCAGTGACCTGCCTCAGCCCGTTATTCGATACCCGTTCGAGACAACGCAGACCGCACTCGATATGCTGTACAACAAGACGGTTCGCAACAATCCCAATTGCAAAATCATCTTGTCTCATGCCGGTGGCACTCTTCCGTTCCTCCTCAGTCGCCCAGCCAGCATCCTTACCAATACAAAAGAGGAGCTAGATGAATTCTGGGAGGATGCCCGCAACTTTTACTATGACACTGCCGTGGCTGGTTCGGAGAATGTGCTGCGGATTATGGAGAAATTCGCAAAGCCGGGCCACCTTCTCTATGGCAGCGACACGCCCTACGCCAACAATGATATCGTCAACTTCCATACATCGCGACAGGATGCCTACCAGTTTGAGGATGCAAGCCTTCTGGCGAAAATCAATCGCGAGAATGCTTTGGCCCTGTTTCCTAGACTGAAATAACACCATATGGAGCTTGTGGTCAACCATTTTTAGTTACCAACTTCTCGAAACGATGAGTAGTAGCAAGGGTCTCCCGCAAATTCTCTAATATCGTAGAGTGCGCAGCAAGGCAGACGAGCCATAATAATTCTTCAACTGGTGGAAGCTCCAGTTAGTAGTGGTCATTATTAATTTTAATCTAATGTTGAGTCTATACCATTTTCTCTCATAATACTTTGAGCAAATTTCGGTGAGGATGAGTAGTCTTTGCTCATGTTATCAGTAGCTGCTGTAATGTTAAGATTGATCAAAGCATATATTGCTACAACGTTGTTGGGTCGCTATACGTATAGTTGTCCATGCCCAGCTTTGTAGTATTAGACATGTAAAAAGTAGGTTACAACTGAAAGAAATAGTACCTGACGATGATGCAGACTTCACACAAATTTGGCTTAAAACGGAACACCATCCTTAAAGCCCTCAACAAATGGGAATACCGAGAGCCAATTTATCTCGGAAGGATCATTTATCCAATTTGCAGTCCCTTCATCGGAAAATATGGCATTGTCAAAGGACTTTTGGGAATTCTCGTGCAGTAGTGGTGAATTTTGGCCCCAGTTCAAATTTGCTGGCACATCGTGCCTAGCAGAAACGTTGTCGAGAGTCGGCCCAGAATGATTGGCCGGATGCTCATCTAGATCAGGGTTTAAATAAATAGACTCAGTCCCATTGTTGGACATACAAAATGCTTACCGGTTTGCGAGGGAAAAATCTTTGCTTGAACGGCCTCGAACAGCCTTAAACATCTCCTTGCAGATCGGCTTTGTAATCTGTAGGCGCGAAAGAACTCCAAGCATTTATTCCAGCTTGCGACGAGCGTGCCCTTACGTTCAATTCGATCGAGGCAACACAAACGACAGATAAGAAAGACAATAGCGCAACTATGTATATCTAGCACGTTTGTGGATGAGCACGTGGTGATCAACGGTGATGTGGAACACATACAGAAAACATTGTGCCATGGTGGCGGAAGGATATCATTATAGATTTCAAGGTTATCAGTGATCAGTTCGACAAGGTCACAAGCTGACGAAACACACAGGTTGACACCTTGCTCCAGCATACTTTGGTGCATCACCGACTCCATCGAATTGTCTGGTTCGGAGTGTGGGCCGCCACTACTCAAATGGAGGAGCGCCGATAATACCGGCCGGAACATGATCAACCGCACATGGAGATACCTGCAAATAACTTATCCATAACGATCCGAAAGCTTCATAGGTGCATAATTCAGGGAACATTAACTGCTCACCTTGCATGTAGAATGGTTGCTTGTCTGTAAAATTTAGCGGTTCTGCGCCCGAACGACTCGTTCGCCAAGGTCCTTGGATTGTAATTCTGGGGTTTCAGCCAAGCGGGCAAGTTTTGGCTCCAGGCACACAGTGACTTGTCGATATTGAGCAAAATTTGTATATCACCACTTTTGAGCTTGTCGTTTCCCATGGACGCTCCAATGAGATTAATATTGATGTCAAGCTTTCCGTTTCCCTTGTTACCACTCCCGTAGTATAAGGTCCATAGAACTTCACCAATAATATTCTGCAATTTGATAGATTGGACGTAGCATTCTGTCAAGCTGGGAACATCTTGGGGTTGTGCTGCGGGTGTTGTGGGGTCCTGGCTCAAAAACTCATCATCTATCGCCGATGGGGCAGCACTTCCTTTAGACACAACAGGCTGGATCATCAGAGGTCGCCCGTAAGTCATAGATAAGACTCTAGAAATCGGGTTTAGACAGTTTATCTCAGAATAATCTTCCTTGTAACAATATCAAACTCTCCGTTACAAATGACATACCTGTCAAGAATCATGCATCCAGTCCAAGCTCGTCTTCGCATCTCAGTCTCCACTTGGTTCAGGTTGCCTTTGGAACAGCATCCCTGATCGCAGTATTCCGGTTCGTGATGAAGGCCAATCCCTTGCGCAACGCGAATAGCGAGGCCCACTATGTTCCAGCACGCACTCGTCATGTCCGTGCTCTGAAGATATTGACCCATGAGAATGAGTATCTGGACCAGATATATATTTCCTTGGGCAAGCATATCAAAGTCTATGAGAGCTTTAGCTCGCCCAAAGAAGGCCGATCCAAGCTCACTTCGATCGCCGCCCTCCCCTATGGTGTCAAACTGAGATCCCAGCGCAAAAACTAAATTGAGCAAACAATGAAATAGTATGTCGTCCAGACCATCGTAAAAACCTCTATCCCGTTGCGATTGAGGTATCTGCGCGGAATGGTAAGTAAAAGAAGGTGTCCAGAGAGTGAGATACTTTTTGGTAAATGATTGACGGTGCAGGAACGGATACAGAGAATGAAATTTGATCCAGTAACTTTCGAGCAACGCATCAGCCTGGTTTCTTGGTGGAATGATGAGCCGATGTCCGGCGAGGCTGAATCTGTTCTTGGACGCTTCGAATGATGGAGAACGAGATTTCTCTCCTACAGAGATAGCTTCATCCTGGAAGAAGTCTAGCATGGCATTCTTCTGCCGATCGCAGTTCGGGGAAACCTCGCTTCGACTCATGGCCCGACGGGCCTGGCAAAGAAAGCTAAGGGTGCTAGAAGGGCCAAAGAAGTCAGGCCCCTGGCTCTCTCGACGGCCGACGGACCCAAAAACACCCATTGCATCAATTGCAGACTCATCATCACCCTCATAGCCTTCCATAGGGGTACGATTGTCCAACGACGCTGGCCCCTTGGCGTCCTGGAATCCCATGGCAGCCGACACGTAGGTAGTTTTATTTGTGCTCAAGACATGGCTGTTTGCCTTCGAAATATCAACCGCTTCAGACGGTACAAACTGTTGATGATGCGTAGGAACTCCGGACCCGTCACTTTCTTCTTCTACGAATCCTAGGGCCGAGACTTCAGGTGTAATTTCAGGGTCGTCCTGATTAGCCGATTTGGTAGATGAGATGGCGACACTAGGTGTGTCAGCAATGGCCTGGCGACTGTTCTCTAGTTCTTGAATTCGACATCTCAGTGACTCCACGTAACTGGAGAAGACGTGTGAGTGGCTACCCCGCTAGACTCAAGAGTGATCATTACCTGTTACTCCACCCCTTGGCACTCCTGCCCTCTTCCCAGACGCAGTCTGGAGAAGATCGTTTGGCACAGGAGCCGCAGACAGGTCTGACCCCGTCGCATTTTCTCTTCCGGTCGCGACACTCATTGCACGCGATCGCGATTCGACGTCGTTTGAGGTCACGATCCGATCCCTGCAAAGGCATGCTTTTTCTTTGGTATGATGTCTGATGAAAGGCCTTTATGGATGGGGAAAAGGACAACTTGGCCTGGAACAACGGGAGGCGGCTGGCTTATGTAGAAAGGACCAGCGTCTTCAACCGGCTTGCCAAGCGGGGTTCTCCATCGCCCCACGGGGAAATGGAAAGGTTATTCGATCCACGGCAGCTTTCATTGAATAGCATGCGAATGCCAGCACTATGGTAGAAGCTATGTTCCAATAATTTAATGCAAGCGTCTACAGCCAGAACCAAAATTTACCAAGCTGACTCATCAAATCTCTAAATCGCGACTCCTACAGTGCATGACGTTGATCATTCGAAGTTCAGGTACATGTTCTACTCGTACTACCTAGTGAAAAGATCAAATCAAGGGCCCTGAAATATTTTATTTTATGCAATAGATTTTCTGCCAATAGAGACTTTTAATCAACAAACCATGAAAGTGCATCAATTCAGCCAGAGTTGTGCATGTCCACAGAGAGATTGACACCAGTCATTCCTTTCGAATGATGCTAGCGAGGAAAACCGCTGCACTTGCAATTTCTTCAGGCTCACCTGATAGTAGCGGATTGCATTCGATCAAGTTTAGCTCACTCTGGCTCTCATGAGTTTGCGAAGCGATCAAGGGTGTTCTGGTAACTGAATTCTCCCAAAATATGCGGTCAGTCAAATGTTAGGGGTAGAAGCAGGTTTTTAGAACTTACACCTTGGTAAGATGGAATTGCAGTGAATGCCATGAGGCGCGTAATCCATGGCAACGGTACGCATCAGGGCCAACACCGCTCCCTTTGAAGCTGCATATGCAGGAGTCCCTAAAAGACCGACAACTCCCAATACAGATAATATATTGATGATATTGCCAGCGCTATGATATCCCGGGATTCTTGGCTGATTAAGCATCTGTAGGCCAGCATATTTACATCCAAGAAATACACCCCGCACATTAATTTGCCCGTCGAGTCAAAGACTTCTTCAACCGTTTCATTAACTGGACATGGGCTTGATACCTCGGGGACAATACCTGCATCATTGACCATGCTGTCCCCAGTCAGTAAAAATCGCTTCATCAGAAGGTACGAGCCAACACGTCAACCCGACCAAATTCGCAGCCGCGTTTTTGACTAATTCCATGACACTGCTTGCTTCCGTGACATCTGTTGGCACAAAATGGGATTATCCACCTTAACTGCATATTAACTCGCCAGTCAGCTAGTCTGACATCTTACCAAATGCATGGCGGTCTACGCAGACAATGGTGGCGCCATGTTCACCAAATACCAGTGCTATTGCTCATACTAAACCAGAAGAAGCTCCAGTGGTGGTCGAGACTTTGCCAGCAAGTTACCTTAGAGCACTGGTCATATTGGTTTAACAGTAGACAGATGGAAGGATGAGTAGGACATAATAGAAATGTCTCAGTCATAAGTAAAACTGAAGAGATCATAATTATATCTCACAAATATTTGGCAGATGTCTGGTATGTCGTAGATCATGATATGTGTGCGGTTCTACGGTTTCTACATTATGTTGTGCATAAATAGTAAATAGTGAGCTTTAACGGCGGGAATATATCCGCAGATGACCGGAAGTATACCCGCACGTTTTCTCACCTCCGTCCGCATAGCCTGCCGTAGCAACCGGCTGATCCGAAGCCTTCGATCCATCTATTTAGTGAACAAGACAGAACAAGTATAGAAAAATAGCTAATAATGATTCCTAGGGTATTTCACACTCTGTCTGAAACAAGTTCATAGTGGAGAATTTGCAACAAAACATGTCAAACGAAGCAATAATAGGCCTTGACTGTTACGAACTAACTTGCATGACACTAGAGCACGCTAGACGGAATAGGAAAAGGCACTTTTGGTAATTGCGAAGTATCATCCGTACGATTACCAACTAAAAGGAAATAGGTCATCAACGTGACGCTTGATATGGGACACGCACAAAGTCACGTGGAGACAAGAATAAGATACCACTAATGAGAAGAATAATTGGTATACACAATGAGCCCAGCTCATTGGACAAAGAAAGATATACTGTCTACCATCTACCAGGAGTGGTAGACGATATACGATGTACGGAACCAGGAGGATTAGATATATAAAGACACTCTTTCACTAATATGTATTTAGTTCTCTATAGTTCTTTGATATAAGTTACTTAAATACAATAGTAAGAGTCAGTAAGGTATTTATACTTGTATAGGTACTAGGCTATACAGAGAATCTCTTCTATTCTAGTTATATTAAGACTGCTAGTACTAATAAACTATTGTTTCTTTAGTTACTTGGTCTACTTTATCGATGACAACTCTTTGAACCTTTGTATGGTTCAATAAAGCCTAGCGTACCTCGACACAACGCTGTTTAACTAAGGTGGATCCAGGTCCGTGACATATCTTAATAAAGAAATATATTCTAAATACTAAGCTAAATATTAATACTAGCTATAAGAGAAACTAGAAATTTCTTATAACTAGATAATAAAGCTTAAATAATAATATAATTAAATAGTTTATATACTATATAATAAGAAATAATAATAAAAGAACTAATAGATTTAAGAGAATTTAAAGTATTATTAGAATAAATAATTTATAATTAACTTAGAATACTAATTAATAGAATTAATAATTATTTATT